AGACATCTTTGGTGATGACGGACACGTGGCCTTTTGGCACCGAGTCAGGGTTTCCTAAATTTCCCAAAATAAAATATTTAGGTGGCGACTCTGTATCTGGCAAAGCAGTCCATGTTTGGCACTTCTTTCAAAAATCAGTTTTCTCAAAACGATTTGCCGGATTTGGACTCTTTGGTTCAGACTTAGAACCGTGACAATTTGGAGAGTCCTGAGCTGTAGTGACCCCAAATGAACGGAACGGGAGCTCGTTCCTCCCGGGGCGTTCGGGGACGTCTACACCATCATATGTGGGATATCATATCCGGATGGATTATTAGTCCGTACTTTAATTGTTTAACCAAATATCGGATTAATAATTTTATTGGACTATTAGTCCAATCCCAAGCTCGTGTCCATCCAAAGAAACATGGCCTATAAGTATTAGGCTAATCACTAAAGTGATTATTAGATTTAGATATTTCATTTTTTGCTTCATATGATGACAGAAAATAGGATAAATTGGCTGTTAGGTTTTTATTCTTGGAAATCTCATTTGACAAAACTCCTTTCAGTTGTAATTTTATTCGATCTTGTATTTAAGTGAGGCTATGAGTTTTAGATACGAATCCAACCCGAATTGTGCCTTGCAGAGATGTTTCAGGAGTTAATTCTTTCATGTTTGCCACTTCGTTGACTATGTCGGGGATTGAGCGGCCATTTGTGCGCTCCAGCGGAGAATCTTTAGTTCCAAGCAAAAGATACAATGCCAGAAGTCCATAGAGAAAAATGATCACTAAGGCGGAAGACTCCGATATTTGCTAATCCAAGAGTGTGTACAAAATGAGACATACTAATCAAAGAACGCACACTCCAAAATGAGTAATGACCACATAAAGGAAAGTTTGAAAAGTCCATCCCCATATTGAATTTTTTGTTCTCCCTTTCCTTAAGTTCTTGTATCATGAGATATGGATGCACTCGATTTTTTCTCTTTGTTATCGCCAAAGCCAATTCCACTCTTGTCATAACACATTTGTTGAGACCCAATGATATTATCCAAAGTCTTTGATTCTTTGTTCCAAAGACCAATGGCAGCCATAGCGCACTTGAGCTGTTCCTTTTTCTTGATCATTAGTTCTTCCAAGGCAACTTGAGACATCTCGAGAGTTTCAATCTTTTCTTCATACGTTGCATAGATTTGCTGTAGGTCATTCGTCTCTGTCTCACAAGTCAAGAGTTTCACACAAAGAGCTTGTCGATCACTAGAAATCTTAATGGCATCATTCCTAGCCTCGAAAATCTCCTTCTTCAAATAGACATTCTCACTTTCATATGCTTTGAGTTTCGTAGTGAGTTTGTTATTCAATTTGGATAAGTTAATAGATTCCTTATACAACTTTTCATAAACTTGCTGAAGTTCTTCATCATCACTCCCCAAGGATTCATCTTCAGTGACATTCTCAACCAGCCTTTTCGGATACTCTATTTGTCCTTCGGTTTTAGAAGCCGCCATGAAAGTAAGGAATTGTTCATGCCTTTCTTCGCCTTGTGCTTTGGTGTCACTTTTATCTTTATCAGACTCTGATTCATCATCCCTCCCTTCAGTATAGATTGGCTCGAGATAAACAACCTATGCAAAATAATGGACAAACTAATGGTCAAACTAGCAATCAGAGCCATGAGAGGTCATCACTTGTGCCTCAGTCATGGTACGAAGTCCCTTCGAAACCATTAGCAAACCAAACTATACCATTTCCCACCAACGAAACCATACAAATTGGTGGATCTAGGCCAGCACAAGGAAATGGCATGAGGATGTTTTAAAATCCTATGTTTGAAGCCATACCTGGCACATGGGGTTACACTAATCCTGTGTTTGAATTTACACTCGGGGGGTTGGAAGGATTTTTTGCGGTTAGGGGAGAAACAATACTTGTTCCTTTTCCTGTAGCACCTGTCGTAAGGCCTATCCCAGGACAGATTCTAAGAGGTCAGCCATACATCCAACAACAACCAGTACAACAAAGACAGCCAATCTTGAATGTATCTATATATGAACCAAGAGGCCCTCAGGCGCATGGTGTTCCTCTAAACCCTGTGTTTGTCCCTCCAGTAGTGGTTTAACAAGCACAAAATATGGTTTTAAGGGACCAAATTGCTGATGTAGTTAGAGAAATGTGTGGACCTATGGCTCGGGTGATCCAGACACTAGTGTACAGAAAACCTTTCCTAGAGTGGGTGGATAGGGTACATGAGTATCCTAGGGGGTTTAGAATACCGGATTTTACCCTCTTTTATGATAATGGAAATCAATCAACAGTGGAACACATTGCTAGGTTTATAAGCCAGTGTGGCGAGTTTGTTAATAATGATTACATCAAATTGAGTATTTTTCCAAATTCTTTAACTGGAGCAGCCTTCGTATGGTACATAAACCTTACACCTAGCTCTATCCAAACTTGGAAACAAATGGAGGAAGTTTTTCATGCCCAATTTTTCCAAACAGAACCTGAAGTTTCTATGGCAGACTTGGCAAGATTGAGTCAAATGCCTGATGACAAGGTTGCTTAGTTTATTGCCAGATTTAAAAAGGCACGAAACAAATGTAAGGTCATGCTACCAGAGCCCGAATTTTTAAGATTGACTGAAAATGGTTTGGAGTTTAGGCTTCGAAAGAAGTTTGACTCAACTAAGTTTCGAGACTTAATAAAGTTAACATATAAGATGTCTAGATATGAAACTTTACTCGAGGAAGAACAAGATCGAAGTAATGCTTCATATAAGACCTATTATAGGGACCCTAATTATGAAATTGATGTAGTAGAGATCGTAGAAAAAGAACCTATGACCTGTTAGACATTAATTCAGAAAGACAATACAATAGACCAGCAGTTTAAAAAGAAAGACCTGCATATGAAGTATTCTTTTGACTTAACAAAAGCATATGACATTTTTGATCATTTGCTTACATCAAATTTCCTAAAGTTACCAAAGGGAGTCAAAATCCTTACCCTTGAAGAACTTAAAGGAAAATTGTATTGTAAATGGCACAATTGTTGGTCTCATTCAATTGAAAACTGTATTGTTTTCCGAGACAGGATCCAAGAACAAATTTGGAAGGAGAGGCTAAAGTTTCTAGCCAAGTCTGAAAAAGCTATAGGAATTGACACCAACCCATTTCCGGAGATTGGGGAGGTTGCAGCCAATGTTGGCATGGCAGATTTCCAAAACCTATACTTGAAAGAATTAGAGGAGGTCACTGTGCAGATGCATGTGGCTAGCTAGGCTGCTTTCAAGAAGAACACAAGAAGTTCACCAGTTGATGGACAAAGCTCTGCAGACCTAAAAGAAGGCTCTAGTGAAGAGATGTTGGATGACCTCTCGAAGCTGCTGTAGTGTAGAGGATGTGTCCCAGGTGCAAGATGTGTTACAAGTGGCTGAAAGGGCTCATAGTTGATGGGAAACAGTATTACAAAGAGGTGCATAGGGACCGAATGGCCAGCACCTATAATAAGGGGCCATATCCAACTGGCCCTAGACAGCATTTGTCTTTGGTAGCTCCATCAGACACTAGGATGCAATCAAAAGGAAAGAGGCCTCTGTATGAAACTAGGCCACCCAATTATTACAGGGTAGACAACCAGCCTAAAAAGAAACATAGGTTCAGTGGGGCATGGGACCGGGACTGATAATTGGCCCCTAAGGATTGCTTTGAAGATTGTTTCAAAGAGTGGGGCAACAGATCCAACAGCTAGACCAGTGGGCTCATAGATTCCAGGAGTTCCAAATTGGTTTGTCATATGCAGAGCAAACCTAAGAAAATGCCTACTTAAAGAAAGGTTTTTGGAGACCAGGGAAGAATGATCAAATCTTCCTTGGTGGCTCCAAACAATTGGGTGTTATTAAAGAGCCCAAAAATAAGGGAGCCAGATGTGGTTCCTATGATTTCTAGGTCTCAAAACAGAAAGATCCAATGAAGATACACCTAGTATCAGAGGGATCTGAAAGAAAGTGTAGAGAGCACTTCTATGGCACAAGCGAAAGACCAGACAGATGGGGGGATAGGTTCAAAGCCTGCTCTCAAGATCAAGAGGAGTGCTAGCATGGAACAGTTAGCTAAAGTTCATGCTGAACTGAGAGCCAAAGAAAAATCCAGTTTAGCAAGCCTCGAGAAGGCTTTAATGGAAAGTGAAGATGAAACAGATGAAGGGACTGAGTTAGGCCAAGAGAAAACATTAGATGATGAAATGTTTGAGGCCTTCATGGCTGAACATACCTTTCTGGTTGACAAGTCAATGGAGGTAGATCACCAACAGGCTGTTTTGAAGGAACTTGTTACCACAGAGGTACCAGAATGTAGCATGGAAGATGCTTCTGAAATAACAGAACATGCTAGTTTGAAAGGAAAACAAGTACAACTAGTAGTTCAGTTTGGCTCACTCCCTCCAGTGCTAGTAAACATGGTATATATACTGCCATAGGAGTTCCAGGCTGAAGAGGGAAACCAAAAAGGTCAGGAAGATGACCCCATTCCAGTTTCTAGTGAAAATTCACAGGCTAGCATGATTCAAGATGAGTTTGAAGTGGCTAAACCAATGGAAACTGAAGAAGAAAGTGAGGAGGTGAGTATTAACCTCTCATATCCCTTCGAGTACCCTACAACATCTATGACTCAGCACGTTAAGCCCTTGTATATCAAGGCTTACTTATATGAGATACAAATGAACAAGGTGTTAGTGGATAATGGGGCAGCAGTGAACCTGCTTCCGAAGTCCTCCTTGAAGAAATTGGAAAAAAAACCCAGATTAATCCCAACCAGCACAACCATTGCTGGTTTTGTTGGGGATAAACAGATGGCTCAGGGCATTCTGCCCATCAACTTGAGTGTGGGAACCAGAGATTACATGACAGCATTCTTTGTTATAGACAGTAATGCCATGTATAATACTTTGCTTGGCAGGGATTGGATCTACACCAATAAATGTGTGTCTTCTTCTCTACATTAGAAAATGATGATAGCACTATGCAATGGAGAGACAGCGGAGATCAACACAGACACCACCTTTTATTGCTTGTGATAATTTTGTAAAGGCCAAGTTATACACTAAAGGAGTGACACCACTCAGTGTGCTGTGGAAGCCTGATGGAATAGCCGAAGTGACGGTTGATGAGGAAGTAGCACACCTAAAGCACTTAGTGCAGGAGAGTGCTTATGAAGAATTCATCACCAAAGATGACAATGATGCCTAGTTGTAGGCAAGAAGATCAAGACCAAAAAGCCAGACCATTGGCTTCAATCAAGTTTTTAGTATTAGACTTAAAATCAATAGTCCAGAAGGTGTAGGAACAAAAGAGAGAAGCCATGGTGATTGGCTGTAATCAGGAGCAACAAAAGGCTAGATTTTTGGCTCTAGGTAAGTACTGTGTATTGGATATTGAAACAAAAGGCCAGGAGATACAAGAAGAAGAAGCCTTGTGGACAGATTTTATCTACAAAGAAGAAAGCAAAAAGGTGGAACTTGAAAGGATAGAGGTAGACAAAAAGGTTACTTCGAAGGCAGAGGAATGTAAAGGGGAAGCATCAGTGAATGCCCAAGATGTAATAACTTGACCCTCTCATATGCTTAAATCCCTCATTAGATGTGTGATTATATGTGTGTTTATATGTTTAATATGAAATTCCATGGTTTAGTATGGGTATTGCATGTTTATCAAATTGTATCTGTCGGTTATAAGAAAGTCTGTTAAAATTACAAAATTTGAATTGCAAATTAAAAGCCTTAGGGGCGCGATAACCGAAAATTGACTTTATAGTTATGATGAACATGATTTTTAGGACATAATATACAGTTTTGTAAAAATTTGATTCGTAATGATTTAGTTGGTTATTTTCGTAATTTAGTTCCCTTTGACTTAAATAGACTAAGTAGTGAAGGAGGGTTATATGACGGGGGCCTTATAAGGGACTTAGAAAAAAAAAGTGGGACTCAAGAAGAAACAAAACGAAAACAACTCCTGGAAAGAGGAAAGAAGAAAAGAAAGAGAAGAAAAAGGGGACTCCAACTAGAGTTGGAGATTGAGGATTTGAAGAAAGGGTTCAAGGACTCTAGCTTAAGGTATGTCTATATCACCAAGAATACTATGTATTTTTCCCTAATTGATTAGAATCAAGACTTAAATTGAAGCTTTGGTACCTATGAAGGTTAGGGTTTATGGGTATGTTATGGTTTGAACACTTTGCATGGAATTGAACATGTAAACTCTACAATTACTTGATTTAAGAGTTGGTTCCTCCATTTGAGTTGATTTGAGTTGGATTATGAGAGATTGTTATTTAATCGTATCTCTTGCACGCCTTGAATTTATGTATGTATATGTATAAATGGGTGTGTATTTGTATATATAAAAAGATGAAGAAAAATAGGAGATTCATAGAAATTAGAGTGTTATTTGTCAAATTAAAGGGGGTTTGATCTCATTGAGTTGTGTATCATGCTTATTATGTTCCTATACTATGTTATTTGGAGAGAAATTGCTTGATTTCTACACGACTGGATCATTGTGAGTAATAGTAGTGTAAGAATATATTCACTTGTATTTGTTTTGATGCGATAATGCGTGATTCTCTGAAATTATGTCTTATTCGAATAAATGAGCTACAAGAATTAGGATATGGTATATGGGCATGAGATGTGACGTATTCATTGGGCCCACGGCCGTTCTGTATTCATTGGGCCTGAGGCCGTTCTGTATTCATTGGGCCGGAGGCCATTCTATATATTGGGCCCGAGGTCGTTCTGTATTTGTTGGGCCCGAGGCCATTCTGTATATTATTGGGCCCGAGGTCGTTTTGTA